CAGGGGGGTGGGGGGTGGGGAAAGGGGGAGAGATGGTTGTTCATCCCCCATTCTCTGTAGAGGTGGAAGTAGGGCTGCTTCAGTTACTGCTGCTAGCCCTGCAGCCAGAAGGGCCTTTGTCATAAAGGGCCCAGCAGGAGCTGGGATGAATATGCCAGTGCTTGGGGGTGAGGACAACGAAGACCTGAGCTTCAGTGCACCTCCCTGGCTTCACAGCCCTGGCTGGGGCATGTTCTAGATTTCACCCACTTGTTCAACAGGAAATCTCCACCTACTCCTCCCACAGTCCTCTCTCTACCACTATAGACACGTTCCTTTGCTCCCTCAAGCCCCTATAGCTTTTTTGGTGAATAAATCACATATCCTCCCCAGTGTGCCTGATAGGGGGAATTATGGGCAGGTGGGATATCATGGGCTGAGCCATGCAAGCAGAGTGCCTAGAGCGATTCCTTGCTCTTCTAGGCCCAGGCCTTTCTTAAGGCCTTTTGGACACCTGTGACCTAGATCTTCAGCAGGAAAAGGCTTGGGGTTAATCTGTTCCCAGACATCACTCCCCTGGGGAAGTGCATGGAATCCCCAGTAGCTCTTTAATTAAATCACATGACTTTCACTTAAATCTTTTGCTCCCTCACCTTTGCTTAACTGAAACCCTGGCAACTGCTTGGGAACAAATTGCCTCCATAGGCTGCTGGTCTGAGTGCGGTTTGCTTTTCAGAGCTAGAAGTGGTATCATTTGAGTGCCTCTCTTGAAGAACCTGTTTGTGGGAGGATGGTTGTTCCATGCTGGTTGGAGGTTGTCACCTGAATTTTACTTGCAGGTTCCCCCACTGAAGTACATGCCTTGTTATCTGGAGTTCGGAGGAAGACTGATAAATTTTGGGGTTTTTAAAATTAATTTATTTAATTTTAAACTCTAATTTACTTGTATTAAAACTTATTTGAACAGTATGCATGTGCTGCTGAAGATTAAAGTCAAGCCTCTGACCTGGTGGAAGCCACTGGTTAAACTCCTGGAATCAGTTTACTGAAATGCTAAACCAGCTCTGCATAGCTGTGGCACCATCTGCAGGTGCAAAGGAGGTATTTTCTTCACTTAAGTTTTTTCAGCTAGTTCAGTTTAATGACATTTAAATTTACACTGAGAGTTGAAAAGGGTGGGGTTTTTTTCCTTCTCTAATGTAAAAAAGGGAACTCTACTGAGTAAATGAGTGTTGCACTTTTTTACAGTCTTGAAGGATGTGATGAGCAGAAATTACCTGCTTTTTGCTAAGTATAGGTAATTTCTGTGCATAACAAATCAGTTGGCTTTCTATGAACACCTTCCCCCCCCTCCCCCCCATAAAAAACAAACTTAATAAACTTATTATCAGGTATTGGTACGCTTAAGATAGCTGTATCAAATAAGCTACTTGCACATGTGATTTGCAGCCTCTAATCAAATACAGCCAGGCACAAAACACAAGTAGAAATAATTGCATATATGAGAAATGCATCATATGAGGTGGGGGGGGGGGGA